AATGAGAATTTATACCTATAAATGTATTTCCATATGTCAGGGTACTAACTGTGCTACTCATTTTATCTTGTGTATTATAAAGAGCCTTTGTCCATGAGTTTTGCCCAATTTGGAAAACTTTTTTAAAAGCCTAGCCTTGATTTTTAGTCATTCATAGCACTACATGTTCTGTCAAGTAGGGATGATGTAATATGACTTCTGAGGGAAGGCACCAGATTGAAATATTATTTTCTTTGGGTTTTCATTGATATTTGCCATTTGGTGAAGAGAATGTTTTATTTCTTCCAGATTAGTGGACTGTAGAAAATAGTTTTTCCAGAACATTGTTTCTCCTATTAATTACAAGACTGTGAACCTTGAAAAATCCTAAGCAGAGGGCAGTGATCTTCATCTGCTCTGTTCACCGATATGTCCCACCATCTAGAACAGTGCCTTTGTGGGTGCTTAATAAATATTTGTTGAATGAACAAATCTCTAGCATGCCTTTTAATCAGTAAGTGCAGCTTTTTTATTCTGTTGGCCTTTGATCTGAACAAAGGGCATCATTGTTTGTTGGAGTATTTTTTTTCTTTACCTAAGTTTTTCTTTTTCTCTGGAAAGCATGGGAATAAGCTTCTCTAGCTCCTTGATAAAGATAGCTTGTGCCTTAGGAACATAGACTGATATCACCCACACACACTTCAAATATTTATAGCTATTTACAGTATGCTAATCTTTATACTTAAGGGTAATGCTGGAAATAATTAACATGGAATCATGGGTTTGTTTTTTTTTTTTTAAAGAATCAAGTATTATTCTTTATTATACCAATTGACCACTATGTGGATGCAGATTCAAAATTAGGAAATAATACAAATTAGTATAAACTATATTTTAAATGGCCTTTTATGAAATATTAAAAAGAAGTAAAAATATTCCAAGTAACTGGAAATTGTAGAGTTCAACTACCTATTCTACTAGCATTAATATTTTTTTGTTTTTGTTTTTTTATTTTTTTCACACACGTACTGTATTTTATTTTTACAAGAGATAAATAAACTGACACCAAGCATTGTAAATGGATGACCACAACAAAACCAACAATGATTGCAATTACCAAACACGAAACACACTCATACCAGGTCATAATATTGACATTCAGTATCATGGGGGTTTTAAATTATTATTTCCCAAGAGACTGCTGAGATCATCTTGTCCAACTCTCTCATTTTAAGGTTGGGAAAACTAAAGCCCTGAAAGGTTTTTAATTTAGGGTCCCTCTGCTAATTAGTGGTGGTGCAAAAACTAGAATCCAGGCCTTTGACTCCCAGTCAAATGTTTTGTCCACACACATTATAAATAACTTTTTAGCCCATTTTTCAAGGGGAAGGCTTTTTCCATTTAAAATATTGATTCATCATTCTGACACCCTCAAGCACATATTTTGATGCCCAAACTATTAAAAAAATTTTCCCCAAATATTAAGAGTAAGTGTACTTCATAGCTAAGGGCTCTTTTGAGGAGCCTGTTCTTCCCAGGTTATCAACACAGAGAGTACTGAAGGTCTGTCGATAGATGTACTTTATAATATCAGTAAGTATACTTTATAATATCAGTATGTAATCTCTTAGATTAGCATTTTACCATAAAAGAATTTAAACATGTTGTAATACCTTAAATTATATTTGAAAGCAAATTGACTTCTGAATAGTGAAATACAGAATATTAGTAGAATATTCTCATTTGCTAACATGAAAACTCTTTTGGGTTCTGTTGCTGTCTATACCTCAACAAGTAGGCAGCTGAGGACCTAGGTGGTTAAGAAGATATCTTAAGAATCAATCTGAATATTAAGAGCTTATAACAGCACTAATTTGATATTAAAATGCTTTAACCATAATAATGTTTATATTTTAGGGAAAAGTAGTAGTTTTTTATCTAAACTAACTAGATTTTTGTTATTTTTTGCTTTAATTGTATAGCTATAGATTGATAAACAGAAGTGGTTTTCTCTCTTTTCTTTTGGCTAAAAAAAATTTTGAACTTCGGGAGGAGGGCATACAAGAGGAAATAAATTAAAAAGAGACTCTTTCTCTCTCGCAATCTTATTCCATAGGGGACTACAGGTTCGCAACTACCACATGCACTGCCTCTCCCTCTTAGTAGTCCCTTGATGGGGCCTCATGGTCAGATAGGAGAATACAACAGTCCTGTTAAAATACATTTATTCACAATGCCATTGATTAGAGAAAATTTTTCTCTTTTCAAATAGTCCATTTATATTAACACTATTACGTTATTTTACATTCAGAGGAACATACAAATCTCAAATGCCCTGTTTCAAATAAGGTACATTTCAAGGTTATCAGTATTTAGTAGTGTTTTAACACTTTCTACCTTGTATTCCATTTTGAAGTGATTTTATTATAGACAGGAATTATTAGTAACCTATTTTTATGTCTCCATGTCTCAAACACTAAATTGATATTGTACTTGGGCTTAGTGACTATGTCGTAAAACATCACTTTGTGAAAGAAAGGCAACCATTCCAAAATCGATGACACGATATTTAATTATTAAATTTTTTAAGTGAGTCCAGAATTTATAAGACAGTTTCATAAACGAAATTAGGTGGTTAGAAAAGTAGCAGAGGGAGTGTGAGTTTGGGGATGAGCTTCCCAGTTGACAGTATAGTTAACTAATTAATCCAATTTAGAGTAGAGCTTCAGAAATGATGAGAGTCAACTTTAACCAAATGTGTGAAAACTAAACATTTTTTAAATGTTTAAACTGGAAAATCCACTTAAGTTTTATCAGCTGAAGGTGACACTATTACCTGAATAACCTACTGTTTCTGTCCATTTAAAATGATCTCCTAGGAATATGTTAACATATAAGAACACAGCAAGTAAAAACTCAAATTGTTTAATTCTAAAGTTCTTCTTGTTGGTTTGTCAGACCCTCCAAAAGATATTATAGAAAAGTCTATAGCACATAAATTTGCTAGAATTTTATTTTTCAGCTGCTGATTTTAAAATAGCCCTAGAACTGCAGGCCTAATTTCTAAAAATATTTTTAGAAAATTCATTATAAATGTGGAATTTAATTATGTAAAGTACTATAGATTTGGCTTGCCCAAGCCTTTGGTAAATTGATTCTTAATTTATATTAATTCATTCTTAATATTTTACTTAATATTCAACCCTTTAGAGTTGATAATTTGCTTATATTACATGTAATTATGTATTATAATTAAACAAAATTATATTTTTCTATAAAAATGGAATTTTGAATAATTTTAGGAATAAACTTAAAAATAAAAATTGTGCCCAAATCTGAGTGACCAAAAATATTCTCCTTCCACTCATCATTGGACAATCACTAAAATGATACTTTTAGCATATTTTTCAGACAGTTTCAGGACTGACAGAATCAGCACATCTTAGCAGCCTCTGATTCATCTAACAAGATAAATTGACTTGAGTTTTAATATAAGGCCATTTGTTTTCCTCTGGACTTCTGGAGGAGGGCATACAAGAGGAAATAAATTTAAAATATAACATATACACACTACTATATATAAAATAGATAAACAACCAGGACTTGCTGTATAGCACAGGGAACTATATTCAGTATTTTGTAATAACCTATAATGGAAAATAATATGAAAAAGAATAGTGGGAGGGAGGGAGACGCAAGAGGGAAGAGATATGAGAACATATGTATATATATAACTGATTCACTTTGTTATAAAGCAGAAACTAACACACCATTGTAAAGCAATTATACTCCAATAAAGATGTAAAAAAAAAATAGATAACTAATACGGACTTACTGTATAGCACAAGGACTCTACTAAATACGCTGTAATGGGCTATATAGGAAAAGAATCTTAAAAAAGGGTGGATATATGTGTATGTATAACAGATTCACTTTGCTGTGCACCTGAAACTAACACAACATTGTAAATCAACTATACTCCAATAAAAATTAAAAAAAAAGAATATATATATATGTGTCTATATGTATATATATATATGTCTGTGTGTGTATATGTGTATATATAATGGAATCACTTTGCTGTACACCTGAAACTAATGCAACATTGTTAATTAACTATACTTCAATAAAAAATGGTTATTTAAAAAAGTACACACCTCGGGCTTCCCTGGTGGCACAGTGGTTGAGAGTCCGCCTGCCGATGCAGGGGACACGGGTTCGTGCCCCGGTCCGGGAAGATCCCACATGCTGCGGAGCGGCTGGGCCCGTGAGCCATGGCCGCTGAGCCTGCGCGTCCGGAGCCTGTGCTCTGCAATGGGAGAGGCCACAACAGTGAGAGGCCCGCGTACCGCAAAAAAAAAAAAAAAAAAAAAGTACACACCTCATAGTCTGCTAGGCTCAAAATATGCAAAGAAATTTGAATTTTAAAATTTATAATCGATTTTGAATTATAACAAACTCTTAATGAAAGGAAGCCAAAGCTCTCCTAACCACAAATGTCCCTTGGAAAAGAAATTTCTTTACCATTTTAAACGGAACTACAAAAGAAAAGATGAAGAAATTTGGCAACTTTAAAATTATTAGAGGAAAATTATAACCGAATTGGGTAATTCAGTCAAAATTATTAGAGGAAAGTGATAACTGAATTGGGTAATTCAGAATCCAGTTTGTATAATAATGTAGCCAGTGATCCTCTTCCTGAAGTCTTTACTAAGATTCAATTGCCTAAATTTCTTAGTCTTACTTTTTGCCAATTAGATAGCATTAAAATTTTTTTTTGCTAGTTACTTTAGTCATGTTCGATTTTTTTATGATTTCTTTGGAATTTTTCCAGATATTCTACAAAATAAAAAATAGGATGGTAATTTTTCTTAAAAGCTTTTATTCTACTGAAATCAGCCACATAAGTAAATTTGATTTATGTTTTGTATAATTCAAAAATTCTTAAAAGCAGTTTATTTTCAGATCTGTATTTTACATTGTTTTTTTGTTTTGTTTATTTGTTTGTTTTACTTCAATAGCCTTTTATGTCACCTCGGTACCCTGGAGGTCCAAGGCCCCCACTGAGGATACCTAACCAGGTAAGATTTGTGTGTGCTATTTAAGTTTGGTGGTTTTTTGTTGTTGTTTTTTTTTAAGAGTCAATAAAGATCTTGAAAATGTCACATATATTTCTCTCCTATAAAAATATTAAATTATTCTTCATCCCATTTTATGCTACTTCTAGTGATGTATAACCTACATTAAGGGTTGGCAAACTATAGCCCATAGTTTGGCTGACTTTTTGTAAATAAAATTTTATTGGAACGCTGCCACATTCATTCATTTATGTATTGTCTATGGCTTCTTTTACACTGCAATAGCAGATTTGAGTGATCATGATGGAGACCATAGGTGGCCTGCAACCCTGAAATATTTACTGTCTAGATCTTAACAGAAAAAAGTTTGCTGACCCTTGGAGTCTACCATATACTTTGAAGCTACCTTTCAAAATATATATAATTTTGGTAAATGCAGATTATACTGTGAAGGATGGCAATAAAATTTTCTATGAACATACTGAAGCTTATTTTTATATTATATAGTTACAATAACATGGCTGTAACATACCAATTTTGCCCAATTATAGTGGCATATCAAGCATATAATTAGCTGCTTCTAGAAGGGTTAGATCTATTAATAGTTAACAATAGATCATCCAACTATCTTTATCTACAAGAGCTCTGCGATTTCACAGACTTTCGTCCTCAGATGGTTTATCAATAACATAAATATTTATTTGCTAAAGAGAATAAAGCACAATTTTTACTTGCAGGTAGCTTATAGTTTAGGTTTAGAATAGAGACAACGTGCATGTGTGTGTGTATATATATACATATATAAGTAACACAAGAAGAAATTAAATGCTTAACCACATGGAATATTAATGTCAAGATGATTGTTTTGTCACTTTCTTTGTTTTTGTATACATCATTTTCCCAGATTTAAAGTAAACCCTGGTTTATTATTTTTATCACAATAAAACCTTTTTCATTTTTTTAAAATTTCCACTTCCTTCCTGACCAAAAAATGGAACAAGAAAGCTGTGCTTACTTTGATAGCACATTTGATAGAAATGGAGTTTTCCTTCTCCTCTCCTAACTCTTACCGAAATTATGCAGTGTCCTTGAAGTGTCCCAATTGCTGGTGTTCTCTGCTTCTAATGCACAGCAAAGAGTGCCAGCACCCACATCCACCCCCAGGGGAGAACTCTAAGCAGGCAGCAGTGCTGGGTCATCTCATGGTTACAGGGCTAGAAGTCCTCACATTAGCAGCTGGAGGAGTTTTCTCCTTCAGACTGAAAATGCATTCGGTACATAGGGCCAGGGAAACATGGCATGAAATAGGAAAAAGAAGTGCACGGATGCCAAGGGTTTCAACATATGGGAGTTTTATTTTCTCTGTGGGTGAACCTATATGTATTGACAGTCAGATCTACTTATAGGTGCCTGAGTCTTTTAAATTTCCTTTTCTAAGGACAGAAAGTTGTATCTTTCACTGCAGTCTTCATGGTGTTTCAGACATTCCATTCATAGCTTTATGTATTTCGTAGATGTAAGAGGTTTGTGAAAATCTCCATTAGGGAAATGTGAATTTCTTGTACAAGCATGTGAGAATTTTTCTGATTCCATTTATTGCATATGAATAATGAAAATCTCATAGAGTTATTGTAATTGCATCCATTTGACAGTGTTGAAATGCCTGCTATGTATAAGATACTAAGTTCCACACCTAAAGAAATTGACAAAATGAAAGACACTTTTAGGAAGAATGGGTTAGTGGTAGAAATGTGGAATTGTAAATCTAGGTTGTTTGAAAAATTTTTTAAGAACAACAACCTTTGGATTTTTAAAAGAGGCAATTAAAAAGTTAAAGGTAATAAAGAGTTATGATACAGGTTCTTTTTCCTCAAGACTTTTAAACAGTCTTTACCTAAGTATATTTTAAAACAATTGTACTCTTCTATGAGTGGCCCTTTTTTGCCCCCCCCATATATAGTTAAGCTTCATTAATCCAAACATCTGTCTTTCAAATTTATAATAATTTACATTTATACTATTTTTTAAAGAATTTTGAGCAAACTGTTAAACATTTCCTAAAACAATGTTTACACTATTAACTATTTAGTAGCATGACCTTTTCAAACAACAAAACATTTCTTCAATTTCATTATGTAGTCATTAAAGTAGAATTGGAAAAGCTATTTTTGTGATTAATTGGAATGATGTATATAAAAACAAATGTTAAAGTTTTTATTTAGTCTATTTTAAATGATCATAAACTAATAAAATTTTCTTTTATTGGTATATTGTATCTAAGAAAATAAAAAGTATGCTATTAACTTCTTCAGTGGTGTTGACTAGTCATTTTGAATATGTAAAAGACAATCCTTTAATAAACAGCTTCTCCAGAATTTATAATTACTAATGATTAGACTATAATTTTTAAGTACTTCTGATTTGGTTTTCATGGGTCTGAACTAAATCCACAGTGGCTTACTTACACTGTTTATATATTTATGGACTGGGTATTTGGGACATGGTATCAAATCACTATGCCCAAAAAATGCAAGAAAGGGTAATAGTATCTAAAATTATGAAAGCAAAGTAAAATTACAAAAATCTGCAATGTTGCAAAGAATAAATATCTATGAGAGAACACATGAAACATAGAAATTACACCGGAATTGGTTCAACTGTCAGAATAGGTTGGTGGTGTTGAAGTATCCATAAACTGGAGGTCTTTATCCTTCTCATAGATAAAATGTTTAATCTGAAAAATTCACAGTGTTCATACAACGCTATGCTAAGAAAACCAAGACAGCCAGAAATATAGAGACTGTTAATGAGTGACACCAAGAATAAACTATTGATTTATTGACCCTATAGAATTGGAATTTCTCACCATTCCTGAAACTCTCTGAACAGGTGTGTGAACTGAGGTAACATAGTGAATGCTGTTGACCATTTTATATTCTAAAGCTGATTTTGACATTCTAAAAGCACACTGCATCTGACCATTCTACTGAAAGTCTCGAAGATATTTGTCCAATAATAGATGAATGAGTGGTTAAATAAATTATAGTATATCCAAATGGTGAAATAGTATGCAGCTATTAAAAGGTATGTTATAGGATTAAATTTATTGATATGACAGAATGTTTATGATCTATTACCAAATGTAAAAAAGGCACAAACCTGTGTGGTATGTCACCTTTACCATATATCACTGTACAAACTCAGTTCCTCCACTCCACACCCCCCCAACACGCGCATGCACGCGCGCGCACACACACACACACACACACACACACACACACACACACACACCAAAAAGACTGTAAGGGACTTATCCTTTATTTCTGGCTGATAGGATTATGAGTGATTTCTTTTTTTATTTCTGTATTTTTAAAGTTTGCATAGAACAGGAATTTTATTTGTGACTGGATAAAGACATTATTAGTTAATTATATATGTAAATGAAAGTACAGATATTTTATTCTTCTGGTTATTCAGTATATGAGATTATTCTTTGTTAATACTGAATGTATAGTTCTTACTATACATGATAAAATGAAAAACAGTGGATGTTAAGGATAGGCAAATCTTGAGAAGACTATTCTTCACTTTTCAGATAGGGAAAAGTCAGCAAGCATTTGAGCAGAAAAAAAAAAAAACATGTTGTTGGGACATTTACTCATATACTGAAAATAAATGTACTGTATCCCCTCCATATAACCAAGGTACCTATATTTTAAACATATTGCACTTACTCTTCCTTACATGTTGTTTTTCAGAATAAATGCTATTTAGCATGTCCTTTCCCAGTAATTTTGTCTTTGTAAAATATTTCATATGTAGAATTTGACTTTTATTTAATGATATCAATATGAAAACATGAGAAGGACTTCAGCTGCATAAAGAGAATTAAGTTCTACATTGAGTAAATGATAGGAGTCTTATAGCTGAAATCGTAAAGAAGAAGACTGTAGTAAATCTCTATTGTGTTAATTACGCTGTTAAAGTATTTAAATTATTATTTGAAATCCAGTGAAACACAATGAAAAATATATTATTTTCTTTTGACTTTGAATTATGACCATGTCCTGGGATATATGTCTTTTCCAATTATTTTCTACCTTTGTAGGACAAAGGAAATTAACAAATTCAAAATCTCTGGCAAAGAAGAAATTCATTCTCCTTCCCAAATCAAGAAAAATTTACAGCACAGTGAACACTGTGCTGTCTTACTCACTTTAAGTTAGCAGTATATCGGGCTTTTTGGTACAATGTTTACTTCTTTTGCCAAACTGCATCTCATTATTTTACAGCCATTTTGTCACAGATATTCCCTTTTTGGACATAAGCCAATACCAAAAAAATGCGTTGCCATATATATGATTGGAAACTTCATAGGGCTGTACAAAAATCACTCTCAGAAATAGTCATTCAACAAAAATTTGTTGAGGTTTACTATTTGCGAGGCACCATTCTCCATGGGGGATACATCAGAAAACAAACTAATGAGAATCCCTCTCTCATGGAACTGGCGTTCTAAAGCAGCAGTGCCCAACAACTTTCTGGGAAGAGAGAAGTGTTCCATATCTGCACTGTCATATGCAGTAGCTCTAGTACTTTGAGGACCTTTGAGCACTTGAAATGTGGCTAGTGTGACTGAGGAATCGAATTTTTAACTTTATTAATTTTAATTTAAATAACCACATGTGGCAAAGGGCTACTGTATTGGACAGTGCAGTTACAGTAGTTGAGATACAGAAAAAAGAAAAATAAATAAGTAAATATATATGTCAAATGGTGAATTGTAATTTGGAGACAAATATCTTTCCAACCTGAATGTCACATTTCTGAATTTTAATATCTTTTCTACTGATATTGCCTTTTTACAGGAAAAAAAAAAATAACAGTGCTATTGCTGGCAGGACCTCAATGTGTCAAGCATCTTAGATCCAAATGCCAGCAAAGCCCAGCAATGTATGACTTTGAGCAAGTCACTTAACCTTTTTGGGACTTGCTTTTCTTAC